GAACTAGGGTTAGACCGACATGTGGGGTTCATAGTGACCTTTCATTCTGCTATTCTTTGCGTTTTCTGTTAGCGTAATGCTACTCAGCAAGCGGGAAGTAATCGACATCAGCTTCCTACTTAAAATGTAAACTAATACATGCGGCAAATTGTCTCCAGAGCTGCCAATAGTTAAAATTCTATTCACCTCAGTTGATTCACAAAAATGATTCACTGTTCTTTTGTTTCATGTGATAACATGTCCTTAAAACAATTTAAAAAACGTGACCCTTAGGACATAAAAGGATGAAACTTGAAAGCAACAAAATGTTACATCACAAGGGTTATTCATCCGCTGACATTCCTAAGTGTAAATACTCTCTTAGTAATCTTTCCCTTTTTGAAAATTTAGAAGACAAAACAAGCATTTCTACAGCCAAAATTAAAGAAAAGGATTAAGTAGTTTTTCCTTTTTCAAGTAGTTTTTTTGGCCAAATATTACTAAGAGGTTGTAACACCTAACTTGTCCACTTGGGGGAGACAGAACATCCTATGAGCACAACGTCATTGCTTTTTAATATAATTATAGATCCATTTAATTCAGTGTCGTTTCTGACAGTATGAGAAGTTCTGCATTTTTTTTTTTCAATTGACCACCACCCTGTTCATCCGCTGTCATTAGTTAGAAGAGCCAATAGGTCACCTAGGAGACCGCCGTTCATGACCCGATAAACCAAATGTTTAACTAATTGAAGTTCCTCAAAAGTTGGCATGGTAATGTTTGTACCTGGACTGAACCACATGCATGGTTAACTCTGGGAAATGTTCAAAGCTTGGTAAGTTTTAGGCACCAACAGATCATAGTATCAAAGGTCACAGGATAAATCAAAGCAGACTTTTCGACACGCACAGTTTTCTCCTGAAGTCTTGGATCGAAAAAACTTCAGGGGTAGCATCCTCAGAAGGATCCAGTCTGTGTAGACCTCTGTCGCCTAGCAACCCCAGTAGCTGCAACAGAACTAGCCAACATAACTAACATCAGGTAAAAAACCTTGGGGTATCTTTTGCCATGAAGGATGCGCTGAACGGATCCTTTGTTAATATGTCGGCTGCATTCGAATGAGTCACACTTCTGTGACGCAATCGGTCACATAAGTATCAGAGGACGGCAATGCGTCCTCTGATAGAAGCAGCCCTCGAATTGGGACCCTGAAGGCAACAAGTGCCAGCCAATCACAGAGCAGTAGGGCTAGGTTGGAGCTACAATGTTGGGGGATATAGATGCCAATAGTCTATACTTTAAGTACGTAATAATGCCAGGAAAGGTACTGTAAAGTAACTTCTGGAAGTTAGACTGATTTTAAGCTTTTTTACTAAAGTTAATTATGGGATAGAAAACCAAAACAAATCACTTAAGAGGCTGCAGAGGATGCTGACCTGGCTTTCTGGGTTTATGCTAAATTACACATTTCTGTAGTCATTTGATTCAGTGATATTACGTATTGATTTGTCCAACTATAACCAGTGTTTGGGGGTTGTCTGGAAGAACCTGAATGCCTTGGGTCAAAGGATTGAACTAAACACCTCAAACGGTTTATGAGCATCTGATCGATTATTCCCTTCATCATCAACTATACCTGATTAAATGTCCATTTTCAAAGCCCCATGTCGATCCAACCCTAGTCCATTAGTTGACCTTTTAACCAAACAGCTGTCGATTGATTGGGTTTGATTGATTGACAACAGCTGATTGGCGTCCTGGCTGAGGAGAGAGGAGGGGGGGGGGCAGCTCTGTTGTTTGACATGAAACAGGAACAGAACATATCAACGATATCTGCTGAGGTGGCTTGGTCGTCCGTTTCTTCTACTTGTGGGCTTCTGTTTGTCCTCAATCAATCGTTTGTGTCGTGTGGAGCTCAGATCAGCCCACGCAGTTCCAGCTCCTCCTCCTTTTCTTCTCCCCCCCTCCCCCCCTCTTGGATGTGTCGATGTTCCCAAGGACAAATAACAGAGCGTCTTTTCCACAGAGCTGCCAATTGGAATGCAAAGCACACACCATTTATATAACATCTCTGCAGTGAGCTAGATAGTAGAGTATTACAGTTACGTCGGTACAACATTCAACAGAAACGAACGAGAGTAATTCAGCATTGTGACGCTGTTTCCCAAAAGGAACAGATAACAGTCCCTGCTGCGGTCAGGCGCCTGAGGGCGGAGCCTAATGCTTCAGGGGTGGGTGTGGACATTCTTCGGCTGTGAAGGTTTTCCATCTTCAAGAATAAAAAAAGAAAAAAAAAAGAAGAAAAAAACACCAAGATGCCTCCCTTCATCTCTCACCAGGAGAGCAAGACAGAGAGAGAACCGAGGGAGAGCATTTCTTATGTTACATTGAGATAGAAGTAAGTATTCCTTAACACTGCATATCATTCTTCTGACAGACTCCATGACATTATTCACATTCAAACACGTTAAAAAACAAAAAAAAAAAAACTGAAACAGCTCTGGTTTCCCTTATGATATGTATTTCTGAGCAGGGATGGGATGCAGATGATTTTTGTTATTATTATGTGCTGCTGAGACCCAGAACCCGTCACTGCCCTGAAGGGTTGTCTGACTTTCTTTTTTGAAATCATCTGCACGAGGCAGAGCGACTTATTTAGTCACTTGAACTGTTTCACATATACAGCCTATACCTCCGTAAAAGCTTTCAGGACTGCAGGTATGGAAAGACATTTGTGCCAAAAATCAGGTGTCCAACTGGATTTTGCCTTTAAATCAGGTTTTTCAATTTGGTGTCATTAGCGGACGTAGGATGAAGATTTAGCCCAACGAGGCGTCTGCAACTATTCTGGGGCTTCTAGTGTAGCAAACAAAATCCACATACAATTGCCATTGTTTAATGTTGGACAAGACACTTTTTCTTGAATTTTAGAGACACTTTCAACGACCAAATATCTCCTCAAAGGAATCTGCTTAAAGCTAAATCGGCATCACACAATCTCTGATGGGTTATGGGGTTGCATTTTGGTCAGTGCATTCTGTCTCTTTTGCTCTCAGCAAAAACTGTTTCACTGCAAAGACATCCACTCAATAATAGTGCAGATTAATTTAACAGCATTACATGTGTCCAACCTCTAGTCCAAATATGATCACTTCTGGCCCTCAAAAAGAAAAGTGCATGTCCAAAATGCCAAACCCAGGCTTCAAAAGAGGTATAAATATAGTTGATGGACAAAAGGGAAAATTCAATACAACACCTGCTGGCACAAATGTCTTCATTTGAGTTCGCTTGAGACATCTGTTGTGCTCTTGACCAAGTCCAACAGATATTATCATTATTATTAATCACATGTAACTTTTGTGCTTCATTTCTTTAAACCTAAACTTTTCAGCCTCCTCGTCTGGTTGCAGGAGCTTCAGAGCTACAGCTACTTCTCAAGGGTTCAATATGTTTAAGTGCTTCAGTTAGTTTTGTACCCTTATGCTGTTAAAAAACCCAATTATTATCCTGCAGGGAGAGCTGACGGGCAGCGAGGGATCTGGGTCCTATTAGTGGAGAAAATGGAGGTTATTTCTTATTGTTGAGTGTCATGTGTGACCTCAGCTGTGTGGAGAAAAGCAGCTTTCTAGGATCTTTTAATTTCACCTCCTCTGATGTAAAACACACCGCCTGTTTCCCTGCCAATGAGATTAAGAGCTCAGTTGGATCGGCTGTCCAAAGAGAGGCTTTACTCGACTGCACTTCTCAGGGGGTTCAAAAGTCATCTGGAATCTCCTTTTGCATCGTTAAATGTAGCTTACACTGTCAAGTCTGAAGAGCAAGGCGAGCATTGAGAGAGGGATCTGTTCCCTCCACCGTGTGCTTTCTACATTAGTGTACAATCGTCCTGACCCACATGGTCCGGTCATCAGTCTGTTTTGAGGATTGCATTGCCCCCCCCAACGTGTTTCACCAGTTCAATCAAGACACTTCTGAAAAGGGAGAGCGGGTTCAGGAACTCTGTTCATAAGGCCATAACAGAGCCAACGTGCGTTCAGTTGGTAGTACAAGCTGTTAGCTGTGGATACACACTCAATCGACCGACGTCTGTTTGAAAATCAAAGCTTCTACAAGGCTGTGATCAGATCGAAAGCCCAAATGCAAAACTGCATTTGGGCTTTTTGACATGTTAGCAACACAAGTGCTTAAGACGAAGAGTTTATTCCAGAAATCTTTTTTGTAGTTTTGGCCATAATTTTGGCTCGTTATTTTGTCTTCACTGACGTATTAGGACAAAGTAAAATGTTCATTTACAGTCACTTCAAGCAGGAAATTGATTCACTCTCTTGGCAAGGAGAATGGACCAAACCTGACCTGGATTCAGGGTTTTAGCGGAAAGGCTAAAGCTAGGCTATCATTGCCTTCTGTTTAGCATTAAGGGTTACATGTTAGCTAGTCGAAACAGAAACAGGCTCCGTTTAACACTTTGACTGTATAGCCATAATTTTTGACGGTTTTTAAAAGTATTACAGCAGGTCAGTTTGGTCGGTGTTGTTAATGCTTTAAGGCAGGGTTGGTAATTTTCTCCAGATACACTTTTTAAGATTTTGGTTGAAATTGTCTTTAGGTCCTGACAGACATAACTCATGTTCTCTGAAAAAAGGAACAAAGAAAATCTGTCATCTGTAGCAGTTGTAAGGCTGTAAAAACTTCAACCAATGTCTGCCACGAGGTACCAAACTGATGAACCAATCACACGCCTCCCTGTCTCCCTGCTCGCTCTCTACCCCTTGTGTGCACGAGCCCACACTCAAAGCATGAGCTGAGGTCCGCTTCTGGACTAGCGCGCTTGTGTATGTAAGTGAGGGGCGTGGCTTTTGAGGGAACTCAGAGGGGAGGGGTTGGGTGCAGACGGAGCACTGAGGGAATGCTACTTTCAAAATCATGCTAGTTTTCGACATTTAACCCTGCCTTTAAAGGCTAAAACAAAAAAGATCATAGTGTCGACTCTGTCGCCTCCACCTCCATCTAAGATTCTGCACCTTTTTTTTTTTACATGATGTCTTGCCGCCCTGCAGACTTTTTACTTTAGCACAAAGTAAAAAAAAGAATAACTCAATCATTTTGGTGGAAATGGGGTTCATAAATAAGTAGACCGTTGAGAAGCCAGACTTATTCCACAATGCACATGTGGACGCCTAATACTCAAGATGTCTTAGCTTGTGGGTCAACAAATTGTGGCCCAACATCCGCTTTTTCAGACTCGTAATCCGCCCAGATGATGATATAAAGTGTGTCATAGTATGAGTTGAATCACGGTTAAAGTGTAACAGAAAGAAACGTCCTCTGTGATCACAGCCTGCTGCAGAAATATCTCAGGCATATTTCGGCAACCTAATTGAACAGATTTGTTTAGACAGTGAGGTAAACTGATTTAGTGAGGGGATACAGACACTAAATGAGTTGATCTCATAGACGGACTTATTCTAAATCTAATCTTGTGCGACGGGTCTCGGCGGTTCATGTCGAGACTGCGAGTTAAACAGACGCGGTCGGTCTGATGGGTGTGTATCAAAGGCTTCTGCTGTTGTGCTTCCCTCCTTTGAGGAAACAGTTGAACAGACTCAGCTGTCGATATGGAGAGAAGCTTTGCATTCTGGCGGTGTGGATGTACACTCACTCATGTAGAGACATGAAGTGTTATAAAAGACAAAAAACAGTTTTAAATATAGGAACAAATATAAAATATTAGACTTCCATAATGTCTATATGCAATAACATTCTAGATAACTTTTCGAGGGACTTACAATTAGCCCCGCTTTAAACCTTAACGTATCGCCTCAAAGAGAATATTTAAGACAATGAAAAAAGCACCACAAAATTCATCATAGAAACAGAGATCTAACCATACAATGGTATGTACAGTGTACGTATGCCAACAATACGAGAGATGAAGAGATGAGGACAGAGAGAGAGAGAGAGAGAGAGATAGAGAGAGAGAGAGAGGAGTAAAACCACTTATCACTCCCGTCATGCAGTTAAGAATTTACACAGGAGACCTGAGGAGTATCAACTCTGGCGGATTTCGGGGGGGCCATGCCCTCCTGTCACTGTCCCGGTCCCAGAGACGCCACACCAAATAAGAGATTAATTCAGAATTATACACAAAGCACTGATCCTCTGACGCCTCCGTGTCAACATTTTCTTTTCAAGGAGGAAATATTTGGGGAGAAAAATAGGATATAAAGATAACGTAATACCAAGCAAAGGAGAAAGGTCAAGGGGATTATAGGAGGTTCGGAGCCTTGCCCGGCTGTTCCTTTTTTTTTTTTTGTGCAAAGGAATATCAGAGAGAGTTTTGGAGTCACCCGTGGGTACCTCCTAGGGCTCATCGCTGGGAGGTGTGGCTGTAGCCCCCTCTGTGTCATCGGGCGACTCTGGTGACTCAGCAGCAGGGACGTCCTCGGCGCTGCTGTCCTTACTGCCGGGACTGGCCGCCGCCTCCGCTGAAGCTGCTGCTGCTGCTGCTGCTGCTGCTGCTGCTGCTGCTGCTGCTGCTACTACCGCTGCGGCTACCACTGCCGCTGCTGCTGCTACCACTGCTGCTGCTGCTCTGACCGTCTTGCCCCTCAGAGTTTTCCAGCATCTCCTGGATGAGTGGGGGCATGGAACCAGGGATCTCCATCTTTAAAGAAATGACCCGCTCTGCTCCTGCAAGACAGAAAATTAGGGTGATTAGTATGAAGTTCAATGTTCATTCTTGATACTGAAAATAGCATCAGCCTGCAGGTGGCTTTTCATCCTCTAGCTGAGAATTGTTTGTGTAATTGAGATGAGCTGGACGTAAGCTTACCTCTTCAAGAAGCAAAGCAACAAAAAGATACAAACAATCTGATTCATCAAGGCAGTGATAAACCAATACGTCACAAGGCCTCAAGGTTAAAATACAAGAACTGTTATTTGTCACTGCAGTGTGGCTACTTTTCAGAAGAGTTGTGCAAAAAGTGTTTTTTGTTTCATAAATGCAGCTTACACCTTGACATCATGTATAGGAGAGTTGTCAGACACTTCAAATAACAATCTGAGCCTGTCAGTGACAAAACCCCAAGAACTCTTATTGGACGGATTTCATTGTAGCCATTACAGCCCGTTTCAAAGCTGCTGGCTGATGCAAACTTTTTCTACCCATTAGTCATTCACACCCCACAAATTAACTCACTCCTGGATCACAAATAGTTAAAGTTCCCCAAAGTGCAGAATGCACCTCAACCAAATCTCCTAGTCTCCATTTTTATTGCATCTAGTCATTATTGACCTGTCTCCATGACAACAAAGCAAGCTCCATCCACTGACAAAGACCCTGAGCCAAGGTCAAAACTTTCAAAAAATTAAAGTTACTGAACACAGAGTCTGCGTTTGTTTTCTAGTTTCAGATTTTTGTGTGTCTTATTTAAAATAAGGCCGTGTGATAGGCTTGTTTTTCATGCTTCCTCTGGCATTACGTGATTAGTTGGAGGAACGTCTAAATTAAACAACATCTATAATTTAACTTGTAAAGTAAACTTCAAAGGCAAAAGTTAAGCTGCTTTTAGAGGAAGTCAAATGAAAAGGAGAAATAAAACCAAAGAGCAATGCCCAGAATAAGTGTTTCTTAAAAAATACAACACACAAAGGATTATGAGACAAATAAACAGAAAAAAGTATCAGTAAGAACATAAGCTGCTAAAGCAGCAGGATAAACCTATGCAACCGCACAAAAAGGAGAGTGTAAAAGACAGGATACAGAGCGAGACACAGAGGGGATCAAGTACAGGGTCGTCTACAGTAACGTCTTCAGGCAGGTCATCCCAAAGTCAGGGGGGCGGGGGCGGTGGGGGGGGGGTCTGCAGAGGGGCAGGAGGATCTTAAGTGTACTCAGGCTCATACAGAGTTAAAGGCTCAGCACTATGAGCCGGTCCAGAATGTGCATTAAAAGTTGGAGAGTTCAAATCAGCATCAGGCAGCCAGTGCAGAGAAGTTAATGTGAGGTCACGTTCTTACCGTAACCGAGGCGTTCTGCTGGGAATGAAATACAATCTTCATATGTAAATGTTTGTTTGGAAGTGTTATTAGCTACAGGGGAACTCAACCATTCTCAGACACTACTTTTACAATAAAATGCTATCGTGACGTTGTTTTAGCTACTAAAGCTGTAGTTTATTTGAAGAAAACGAAGGCTCTTAGGAATACTGTACTTTCTCTTTGTGACCCCACAAGGCCGTCCGTAAGGGGGGATAAAGGGGAAAGCTTCCTGGGGCCTCGTCACACGGGGAGATACGGTTAACAAACAACAATGACCACATTTTATTTTTACACCTAAATACTCCCCATCACCTCTTAAAGATACAAAAACACACTTTTTATTTATTGTTGCTTCAGTAAAATGTAGCCTGTTTTCAGAATGAAAACCCCCTCTTCTTAAAATCTTTGTTTTTTGTAAAAACTTAAGTCGGTCTAGAGGGAGCTAATGTTAGCCAGAGGCTAGCGCTAACGGTACTACTGCTCGAATGTCCTAACATTGATTTAAATCAGTGGTTCTCAATGTCTAGCCGCAGGACCCACCACCTTCCTCTGTGAATAATTGCAACCCAAATTTCTAATTTATACAACCAATTCGATTTATTTACTGAAAATTGTGCATTGTGGACCTACAAAACATGCGACAGAATTAAGTAAGTGATTTAAAAAACATGTTTAAAAAGGGCTACACAGACTTGTTTTTTTTAAGGCACACATTCACGACCCACCTCTGGGTCCCAACCCACCAGTTGAGAACCACTGATTTAAATCATATCCTGGGAGGGTCCCATGTCTCCACAATCCATAAATAAAAACAATTTAGCCTATAGCTGCTAGGTTTCATCTATTAGCTGCTATCCTCTATATTTTATTAGACTGTTTAGTGTGTTTTTCTAAACATTACAGAAAGGATCGCTACAGAGACAGAGTAAGCTGATCTTTGAACAGCCGTTACATTGATCATGTGAAAGCCACCAGACTTTACTAGCAGAAAACATTTAACTCTCCAACATGGCGTTGATTTGCTGGTTTGTTCAGGTTTCTAACGTGGCTTTTGTGTTTCCAAAGATCAGCTCAGATACAATACAACTCAATAACACAAACAGATCGAGGCAGCAGTCTGTGGACAAAAACTTTGGTATTCTTCTCATAAAATCTCTGGTTCTGTGAATTGAGTCTGGGGGCTTAGAAGAAAGTAATGTAGGTCTCTGATGTTATTGGTTTATAATAAAGACTCTCTCTTTAAAGATCTATTTTTTGTGAATTCATCACCCATCAAGAATTTTTGCCATTGCCAAAGGAACTAAAGCTGATCCTGCAGCATGCAGTTTATCACTTTGCCCCGCCCCGTCTTGGTTCTGATTGGTCAGAGAGGCAGAGGTGAGAGTAACCAGCGGCCGTGTTCCAAAAGAAAACGCTGAACTGCGTTGGTTATGTATTGAAAATGGGCGCTACCAGCACAAACACCAGCGTTATGGGACAGAGAACTTAAAATGCTGGAGTCGTGTTTGCTTTTGTTGCTCACATAAATGAATATTGATGCCTCTCAGTCTTTTTCATAAACCAGCTAAAAACGACCTCAAACAGGTCTACCTCTGCATGGATCCTTTATGTAATATTGACGGACACTTTTAGTCTGCCATGGATAAGTTGATCTACTTTAATGAGGCACATTAAGCCGTTACAGCCGGGTTCACTGCGGCTGGCTGAAACGATCTACTGGAGCAATACCAAACGATTTTGTACAAATTGGTAATATGGACCTCAAGACCCCAGTTACTGTAAAGCTTTAGAGGGTGGATAACAATTATTCTACAAAGGAGGCTACGACTGGAAATGTGTCCGACGATGCAACAGAGATTTGCTAAATGTGTATGGGTGTGGAAGTGCATTTCATACTCTGGCTAAAACATGATTTTGCTCAGGTACAGTAGAGTGTTCTCACCCGACAGGACTGCTAGGAATAACTATAAAATGACACATGCTTAATAAGCGATGTCCTTCCTGTACCTTTAGCGCTGATGCTGCGCAGGTCTGTGATCTTCATCAGGGTTTTGGGGAACATGTGGGGTTTGCTGGGCCGACGCTTCCTCACGTAGATCTTCAGAGCCTCCAGGAGGGGCTCCTGGAGCTGGTCCACCTTCGAGGGCTCCTCCAGGTCCTGACGGTCTGCATGCACACGCGCACACACGCACACACACACACACACACACAAAGTCAGACTTGTGGCTCGACGGTGACAAATTCATTTCTGGGGCTTTATCTGATTGAGACAAGCTGCAGGCGGACGCGTGTAACGCAGCATGGAGCCCGTTTGATTAAGAAGCGGAGTTTATCTCGTTATGTCAACTCATTTACTGCAGGGGAGATTCTGCAGAGATTCTGACAATTAGATAAGTTGAGCAGAAAAGCAATTTGAATCCTTTCGTTTGAGCTCTGATAATGGAGGGTTTTAAAGTCTCAAACAGCAGGAAGTAACAACTGAACTCCTCAGACGTATCAGCAGATGTCTCATTCAAAGTTCTGCAGCCATGCAGAGACCAGGATTCTGCACACTGAGGACCAACACAACACCTGTCCTCTGAACCGCCCTTCAACACAGAGTGTATTAAACACCATATTAAGGAGCTACACTGGAAAGACCGGCCCTCATCAGGTGTGATCTGATGGGATTTCAGCTCTCTGACAGGATCAGATAGTTATGAGGAAAGCAAATAAAGGATCCTGAAATCGGGACACATCAGGTAACTCACTTCTGGTTTCGATTTTTAGATAAAACCTTAAATTATTTTCCGGTTAAAGACATTTTAGTGGCTAATTTTCTGCCCTACCACACCTACATAGTGTGACATTAAGTTTAAAGAAACACCATTCATTCCTCTTTTAAGTTTGCAGGAGTAACACAGAGTCAGACCCCTCTACATTTGCCCCATATCAAATCAAATCCATATTAAGCCACTAACCACGCCTTCAATCTCGACTGTTCTACATTTCAGGGTCAAACCATACCGGGAATTCAGTAGAAGTTTGACTAACAGAGTGCGACGCTGCTCAGTGTCGACTTGACTGATGAATGAAATCATCAATGTTTCGAGGATGTGTTACACAACATTTGAAATCAAAGACCCAGGAGTGGTTTAGTTCGGTTTATGGGATTGGAATGCAAAAAGGAAATTATTTGATTTATCCTAAAAGACTATTCTTAAACTAGAAAGAAGAGGAACTGTTTTTTGTCAGTGTCCCGTGTTGTGGTGGGAATTGTTTTTGACATGTAGAGTAAATAAATAATTAAAAAGTACATTCATAAATCATTAATGAAACTGCAAGTCTACTTTAAAGCACAAACGCTATGATTTAAAAACATCAAACTGGGTTTTACCATCTTTTTCCAAATAACAATCTCTAAATATGTCTGAGAGTAGCCTTGATACGTTGAAGATATTTATATTCCTTATGTAAGTAAGGAAGTTGTTTTAAAAAGAAAATGAAAAGTGCTTTAAAAAAAAAAAAAAGACATAAAACACTGATGAGAACTTTTACAATTTGGATCTGATCTTAAACACACACCCACACTTCCTGACTCGGCCATAGGGTGGCAGTGTGTGCGCTGGAATCAGCAGGTGGAGGTGTGCGAGTGCAGATGCAATCAGAAGCGTCTCACACTGTCCCTGGATTATGCAAGAGCCGGTAATATCTGCTGAGGCTCAGAGGTTTCAGAATTTGAATATATACTGGAGAATAAAACCCAGCAGAGATGAAGATGTCGGGTGGAGGAGGGCGAAACGGAGGGCTGGATCAGTACTGACATACTGACAGTAGCTACAGTATGGGACTGTCTGTAGGTACAATACAAATGTGTGTGTGTGTGTGTGTATCCTGACATAAGAGATTTTGTATCCTGGATCTTTTCCGCTGGGAGGTCGAAAACTCAGCTAACCGATGCTGCGGTGACACACCTGCATGTCATCCCTCACCTCACCCGCCCCCTCCCGTCCTCCCTATGGTTTGTCAGTCAGGATTGTGCTGCCTCACTGATATCAACCTGTGTTTGACCTGGTTTCAGACTCCTGTGGAGCCTGGCTTACTCTCCTGCCAAACTGAGCTGCAGCCCCGCTCAATATTTAACAAGAGGAATCAATACGGACTGAAGATGTAGAACAGAGAGCAGTCAGGGACGGCTTAATGTGGAGCGGATTCGTTCGTTCATTCCACTTGATTATCTTTCATATCAGTCTATATCTCTAAATCTGAGTTTATGCTAAATATATGATGCAATCACGCTGCAAAATCATTTTAATTTGACGTGTCCAATGTAGAAACAAGGCGAGTGTTACACGACTTTGCAGACAGACGCTGATCTAATCGGCTCTGGCTCGAGTTATCTGAGACTCGACACAATATAATTGTCAGGATGTTTTTCAAAAACCCCAAAACTTAGCACTTAGCTGTGTTATTTTAATCTTTGCAGGACAAGAGCCCCCTGAGTTTGCCTTTCTTTCCCAAGATTTGCAGAAGTCAGTTGCTTTATTTTCACCATCTCTTATGTGCAATCCAAATCAGTGAAGATGGCAACTGGAGTCCAATGTTGCAAGTTATTCCTCCGTGTGTGCTGCAGCCTCACCAGCAGTGCAAGGATAAATTGAAACTTTGCAAAAGCGGCTGCAGCATCTGCTTCGCTCTGCTGCAATTTTCCCAGCCACACCAAGGCACATATCAAGTCAGCTGAATATCCAGTCGACCAAAACTTGTAGGATGTCTCTCCATCCATAACATCCTCTGCCCTCATTTTTCAGTCATTGTCATTTTCTCTGTTTGAAGTGTATTTTTTTTTTTTTTAGTGTGGAATTTAAGCAAAGGTAAGACCAGAAGCTGAACCAGTCTGTAAGTCTTCAAGGACATCCTCTAACTCAAAGGAACATGCTTTTGTTAGACTAACAATACATTTTGCACATATGCTGAGATATACAAAGAACATATGAAACTATTGACCTAAATCAGGGTAAAAGTTTCGGCTGAAAATATGCAAAATCTCCCTTTAAGGAGATTATAATGAAGAACGCTGATGGACTGAGGTGAATGGGATAACACACAGGAAAAAAGTGAGGGAGTGAGGGAGTGAGTGGGTGAGGGGGTGAGGGAGTGAGTGAGTGAGTGAATGAGTGAGGGAGTGAGGGGGTGAGGGAGTGGGTGAGTCAGTGAGTCAGTAATGTGGTGAGTGATTCAGCCAGTGAGTGAGTGAGCGAGTGAGTGAGGGAGTGGGTGAGCGAGCGAGCGAGTGAGGGGATGAGGGAGTGAGTGAGTGAGAGAGTGACTGGGGGGGAGTGAGCGAGCGAGCGAGTGAGTGAGTGAGTGAGTGAGTGATGGGGTGAGGGAGTGAGTGAGTGAGAGAGTGACTGGGGGGGAGTGAGCGATCGAGCGAGTGAGTGAGTGAGTGAGTGAGTGAGTGGGAAAACATGTCTCCTACTGGTTTTACTGTTAATATATATATAAATTATAAAGTTATATAAATCTATGAAATAGTTATCAAACAGTTGGGGGTGAGTGAGTGGGTGAGTGAGCGAGCGAGCGAGCGAGTGAGTGAGGGGGTGAGTGAGTGAGGGGGTGAGTGAGTGAGGGGGTGAGCCGCTGAGGGTGATGACATTTCTATCCTGCAACTGCTGAGCGGCCAGAATTTGGTGCACGTAATAAAACTGCTTCCGACTGTGTTCTGCTCGCCAGCTTGCTCTTTTCCCCTCTTTATTCCATACTGTGAATAAGTCTAATCTAACAGCATTAGTATGAAGGCTTTAACTGCCACAGTGTTGGACTCCGTTGCTTTGTATGCCATCTTGGATAAGTTGTTAATAATATGGACCTGGGGCTTTTTTTTTTTTCACCCCTCAACCCCATCCCCTAACAATGCCAAGAAATGTTTAGGAGTGCATGTGTGAAAACGGCTTTTAGTAGTATCAGTGAAATAGCAACAGACATCTTAAATATAGCCAGCAGTACTTCTCATACACAGAGCGTTTCAAAAACTAGTAAAGGGATCATTTGAAGCTAATGTCTTCTTCTGCTATTTTAAGATTTATTACGGTGACAAATGTCACTTTTTCAACTTCTTATTTTGTCAAAAGTTTGAATTTTAAAGTTTGAACTGTAAGAGTACGATAAGGCAAGTCAACTTCCTCACATTTTTAACAAGTGATGACCGGTCTAAAGAAAAAGAAAACATGCTTCTCCTTAACATCTATGTCCTTTATCTTTCCATCTGAGTTCATATCCTTCTGCCCTGCTGTCTCCCACCCCTCCCCTCACTCAATGCCCCCGGCTCGCCCACCTCCAGAGATGAGACAGATGGCGCTGAGGAGGCCTGTCTCTGTGTCGTCCATCTCTATGGGCAGCAGCTGGTTGGCAAACGTGAACACCAAGTCGGTGAGCGGGCCGAAGCCAGCGTTGTGCATCTGCGTTCGGTTGAGGGTGAGCCCGTCGGAGAAGGTCATGGTGTCCTGGTCTGGGGTGTATCTCGTACAGATGCGCAGGATCTGTGGAAGGAACGATAAGTCGGCAGAAATGAGCGGACAGAAAACTTTGTGACATTCAGAGTTTTGATCTGACAAAGAGCATGTTAGCTTTGAGCTCCTTTTAGTGTAATGCAAAATCAGATGCATGGAGTGCTGCATGGGTGTGAACGCCATTCCTGATGATGATCATTTCTGGAAAAGGGGAAAAGGTTCTGATACAAGCCAAATGAATTCTGCTATTTCTAATCCTGAATCAAATTTGTTTTTTTACAAATTTTAGCGGCAAATGACTTGCTCAAAGACTTTTGAGTTGCTCTTTTGTTAAATTTATTTTTGGGGTGCTTTTTGCATTTATTGTTTAGAACAGCTGAAGAGGGACAGGAAATGATGGAAGGAGAGAGTGGGGGGGGGTGACATGCAGGAAAGGGCTGAGGTTGGGGGGCGGTGACGTTTATATGCTGCGACTGGCACGCGACTATTATTGACAGTATGCAGTCGACCGCTACGATCTCCCTGCACGTTGTGAAAATGCCTCATTATGTTTTCATTCCACCAGTATGTTCTGAATTGTGAATTTCTTGAAGTGCACACCACACACTGACATAAAGGCAACACTTGTCATTGTGTTGGACACAGCCTGGATAGTCTCCCGCTGTGACATGCATGTGCTGCATGATCGGCTGTGACAAGCAACTCTGGAGAATTTCAGGGGTAGTTTACCTGAAATTTTTACCTGAAAGATTTACTTATTTTGTGTCACTGTGCTTAACAAACATAAAGTGATACAAGCCAGTTCAGGCAGGTGACTCCTGCTGCACTGTTCTGCAAAATCACCTGACAAACACATACAGTATTCCCAATTTGGCCGTCTACTAAAGCTGAAAAATGTCCCGTGCACCTGCAGGCTCCGACTAGAGGGTTAACGATATTATCTCATCACTCCTCAAATGTCGGCATGGAAAATAAATCTGCATGCAGTGGTGAGGACACAAACTATATTCTGCTGCTGTGGTAAATATTTCAAACAATTACAAACATGAGTTATCTGACGGAATATTCTGGGCTCAAAAAACCCCCCAACCAAAAACCCCAAACTAACAATTTAGTCAGAGGAAAAGCAACTCCATGTGTCATGGGGCAACCTGCCTGGATGAGAGTGGAAGGAAACATATCCATTTGATAAAGTGTAAAAAATAGATAGAAAAAAGTATTACTTCAATGTGCAGGATGAGCCATCAACATTCTTTATGTTTTCCATAAAATGACCAACTGTGAAGTATCATGAATGATTCTTTAAAAGTTGCCAGTGCTTGATAATGAATGGAAGGTATTTCTGTTTTAAAAAGGCCTTAAACAGCCGTCAGTTTCGTTACAACTTTAAAGTCTTAGAAGCTTTAATTTTAGAGTATTATTCCCCAAACATACAGAACATGACTGACTGCTAATTGGGGAAGTCAGACTCAAGTGTGAAAGTCTGTGTCCCAAATCTGAACCAAGTCTGACAAGTTTCCATATAGAGCAATAAAAACCAGCATGCAGGAAAAAAAACAATGACCTTCCACTCACTCATAGAGAATAACCTCTGTGTACCCTGCTGCACTGCATGTGTGTGTGTGTGTGTGTGTGTGTGTGTGTGTGTGTGTGTGTGTGTGTGTGTGTGTGTGTACACCTAATGAAGCCACTGATGCTGATGTGAAGCTCTTTGAAGCTATTTGAGTGGGCTGGCTCTGACAGTGAGTGGCAGGCGTGTCTGCAACATGAAACAGAATAAAACATGGCTACTGGCGGTGACTCGCACCGGCTGGCCAGGCCTGCGCTCGCTCTCACGCACGCGCACATAAACACACACACACACACACACACACACACACACACACACACACACACACACACACACACACACAGTGTTTGATCTTTCACTCTGACACTCCCTCACCCAGCCCTCGTGCACAATACGTACGCCCTTCACCACAGAATTGTGCTGGTGAGCGGATGCTGATGGCTGAGCGAGAGCCAGAAAGTCATCACAGCCGGCCTTCAACTTCTCACCTCTGAGTCTCTGGGAGTTCAGTTCACTGCTCTATGTATGACTGAGTCAACACAGACTCCACAGCCCATGCGTTATCACTCACACATAGACACTGCATGTAGCGCACACTGATCCACATTTACATCAGCATTCATTTAACCAGGTTGATCTGATGAAGCTATTTTCCATTTACACCTCACATAAATATGCATCTTCATGCATTAATCATTAATTTGTACTCCCTCACCCACATGCAGATCATCTTGTACCCTGTGCCAGCTCCTCTCTCAATTTTCAACTGTCTCTCGTTTGTCCTTCAAGAGCAAATAAATCAACCTTCTCAGAGTGTTTATTACCTAAAAGGACACCCTCTATGAAGTAGTGCGTTATCAGTGAGTATACAATTAGTCACATCATACAGATATCAGTTATAAGCCAGTAACAAGAGGAATATGCGGGTTGCCAGGTTGTACATTTTTAAATGTGCAGTTACGAGATGTTACACCATGTCTGCAGCTTTGATTGGTAAACGATCATTCTGGCATTTTAACACCTGGAACCATTTTCCCATCATCTACATTTAACAATTATAGGAACAATCACATCTCACCACCCCTGGTAGTTGGCACCAGAATTACTAATCGGTTAAACTAATTATTCCTATTTCTGTTGTTTTAGGCCGACAGCGCTGCTTAAATAACCTCAAATCTTTTAAAATGAAGCCAGTACAAAATCCTGCAGTACGTCGAGTGTCCAATTGGCTGGCTGCAGGAACCCCCGGACGTCTCACACACACATGACTGGCAAAAAAGCAGTTTTTACAGCATAAACAAACATGTTTACAGCCTGGTACAAAAAACGGAATAGGTCTGATTTGTGTCATCATGGGCACACACTTTTTTTTTCCAAACTGCTCTGTTTTGATTTCGTGAACGATACGTGTTATCCATAGTTAGGCGCGTAGCTGACCTGATTGACAGGCGGGCGCCATGTAACGGTTTGTTAAGAAAGTAGCTCAGTCTGTAGGGACTCTGACATCTCTCCACTAATACATGTCCACAGATCCTGTTTGTGTGTGTTTCAGGCCTTTGTGTGTGAGAAGCATGTCTCTCAATAACAGAGCGTAAACCAGAAATTTCAAAAAAAAAAATCATAAACCAGAAAATTCAAAAAACAAAACTCATAAATTTAAATTAATAAAATATATTTAACCTTAACAAAGTCAGTCGTACTGAGGGCCTCTATAGCTGGGAACTCTTATTCTCTCTTTCTAAATGCTGCCTTATAAAGTACATTAATCGCACTTTCACTAAGAGTAATAACAAACAGGTGCATTAGCATTAAGTGTAGCCGATTAGCTACATAGCACACATTACCTTAAGTAACATTACAGCAGACTGTTTGCGAAAGTTAACTTTAGTGTGTCACTCTTCTGAATGTGTTTCCAAACTTCTCAGCAGACATCATTTCATCTCCTTTTCCTGAAGTATGAAACCAACTGCTGCAGACTTGAGACTTGCATAATCATCACAGTGAAAATAAGCCATGCTTCTATTTTTGTCGGTTACATAATGGTAGATTTGGGTTGATGCAGCCGAACGTCTGGAAATGGAGCAGAATCAAAGAGGTCTCACGATGTGTCTGCTCCGTGTTTAAAGCCCGACAACGTGGCGCTGACGTCAGCCCAGACACCGGAGGAGCGCTGCCTTCATGTGCAAACTCTCTTTGACTCAGCCTTTTTTTTTTTTTTTTTCCCTCAAAAGTGTTTCTGCTCCACATGAAGAGGTGACGAGAACTAGAGCAAAGGAAACTTTAGCGGTCTGCCAGATAATACAACAATGTGAGACAGCTATCTGCAAGCTTCTTTTAGTGGGTGGCTGCTGCTCACTCCGTCAGGAGCAAAACTTCTGTCTGAGAAACGCCTGTTTGCCAAAGTGGGTTGAAAATTTCAATTTATTTCAAACTTTGATGCAGACTTGGCAGGTTTGATATGAATTAGGGCAATCTTTATAAAGTTTTTGTGCGCTGTAAATTAAGAGTTTGTGCTGAAGAATGTTTAATTAAAAAAGATACAATCCCATATTCAGTATATTCTTTTTAAAAGAAGCACTGGCTGTCAGCAGTGTTTGGAAAAAGCAGCGCTAGTTGGGCGTCGGTAGCCAAGTGGTTATATTGTGCGCCACATGTACAGAGGCAGTCCAATGGGGTCAGATATTTGTGGGGAAAGTTGGAGGGGATGAGATTATTTTTCTCATCTTGTTTATTTATGTTAAAAAACAGAAAGTGTGGGGTGCGGGATAGCCTAGCGGTTATGATGGGCGTCCCACGTACAGAAAATGTGGTCCTCGTTGCGGCCTTGGGTTCAAATCCAACCTAAGGCCTTTGCCGCGTGTCATCCCCCACTCTCTTCTCCCAACATTTCCTGCGTGTCCTCAGCTGTCCTATCTAATGAAGGCAAAAAGGAGGACTACATCCTCCGTGCATGGGTTGCGCACACAAAGCACTGCACCACCGGCGCCCCACTTTTCACCAGCTTAGACGCTTTATTGACCAAGTAGTGAGATAGGGTCAACAAACACTAGCTACATTTTCCAACAACAAAGATGAAGAGCACACAAAACAACAAAACATTGTTTAGTCTGATAAATAAATATTACTGCTCATCAGTCCATGCAGCAAAGGGCGCCGGTCGCCGTCGGTTTCAATCCCAACATCGCTGCAAAGAGGACTATAGCCTCTGTACATGGGACGCGTGACATAACCGCTAGGCTATATGGCCCCCCCATATTTGGAATTTATTTTAAATAATATATTGTGATAAATGTCAATAAGGCTCACTTTGTTATTGTACTCATAGCTCAGCTCTTCACACCTCTCTCAAGTCTCAGGCCAGGCAAGTTTACACTAACATGACAACACAGCCTGTATTTAATTTGAACTTCCAGAAGTTAAATGCAGCATGAGATAGTGAAAATCTGGTTGGTTATATTACTAGTATACTCCTCCTCAGAGTCAAACTGATTTGTTCATCAGTTCAAAAATGGTCTTGATGAGGCATAACAAGCCTATCTTCCCACTTTCTCTTCCTTCCTCTGTCTCTGAGCCATGAAGCATAATTTAATTAGTCGACAACAGCGAGACAAGAGAGGAAGAGACGCAGCCATTCACCTTTTTTTTTTTTTTTTTCCATCTCATTACAGAGGCTGCATTAGTACAGGACATTGCTCCACTTAACAACTCCCACATAATAAACAAACAAACATCCAGCCGGCCGGCTCTGCAGATGTTTCCACATCTGATCTCCATTAAAAAAAACACTCGGCGACATTAACAAACACAGAGCGACAGACTGACCCATGTGAAAAATGCGTGTGTGTGTGTGCAATCTAATCTCTGCTTCAGACGGCTACTCCTCATGAAGAATCTAATTGACTGGCGTGATCAATTCAACGGATTTTTCTTGATTTTTATTGGCCAGCCGAGTAGGTCAACCAATGAGGTTTGAGGATTGCTCTAATGGGAGCTGAGCTTGAGGTTAAACCTTGTAGATCTAAGGCTATCGATTCACCACACAGTCGATGGATTCTTACAGAACAACAAGAGTGAAATAAGAAAATAAACACTATCAAGAAGGAAACTTCCTGATGTGTAAAAGAGGTGTGTTTATATAACCGACACCGCTGTGAACAGTTCAGGGAAGGTTTTGAGCTCATCACTGAATATTTTAGAGTTCAGACTCCACTGAAGAAGCATCTAAACTGTGTATCTTAGACTAACTCTTGCAAACTAGTTCACAGTCTGATGACGAATGCACATAAAAAAGCAGGAAAGAGACTGGGACTCTGTGTGACTCAAACGTGAATTGAAAGTATACCAAGACCCCAACGTTTTTTTTTTTTTTGGAGATTCATTTGGCCGCAGTCTGAACTCCAAAGTATTCAAACATTTTGGATTTGGGACATCAGCTGTGCACTTTAACTGTAAAAAGTGGACATTGCTAAACTATCTGTGTTGACATGTTCGGTGCTACCCCCCCTTGGTTACTTGGCACCAAAAGTGACTATATGTGGGCAAGAATTGTCCAGCTACATTTCTGACCCCCTCGTACCATATTCCACCCCTCGTCTACTCAGATCGTCCAATCCTGGGCTTCTTTCCCTCCCCCGCTCCAATTATGAAACAAAAGGTGGTCGTGCCTTCGCTGTTTTAGCCCCCACTCTTTGGAATCAACTCCCACACACCTTCAGATCAGCAGAATCTTTGGACTGTTTCAAGAAGCATCCAAGAACTCACCTGTACAGACAAGCCTTCATGAAACCCCTAAAACCCTTTCTTGTGCCTACTCTTTTGTGTGTCTTTTCTTCTTCTTAACCTTGGCTTGTTCGGCTTTGTGATTCATTTATGTAAAAAAAAAATTCTCACTGTATGAATTGTTTGATTGCTTTTATCTGTGAATCACTTTGTAACTAAGTAACTGTAACTGTTTTAAAAGTGCTATATAAATAAAGTCTTACTTACTCACTTACTTATCAATCAATCACGAGGAAGTCCCGCCCTAAAGCATACTCGATGTGACTGTATTGAATTCAAGTTCACAGAATGGACATCATGATGCGGCCCGAAGAAGGCTTGAAATTTAAGACAGAGACTAGAACATTTTTCTTTTATGTTTTGTTTTCTGTGCTGATCTTGTTCAATGTGAGGAATGTGAAAACATGATGTTGCTGTGCTTCTCTGTTTACATGCTGATCTTTGTTTATGTTGTTTTAATTTATTATTGATTCGACTGTAGAGGCAGCTGTTTGTGTGCAGCGCTGGAGTCAATGACAAATATCCCCAAGAGAACAGAAAAGTGTAATCAGAGTCATTTGGCACTCTTCTGTCACCCCCTGCTAGTCACGAGCAAAGATGCTAGTTTAAGGCACTTCGTCATTGGCTTCACTTTGGATTGGATTCATCCACTCGTCATAAAGTCTGTAGCTGGACAGGTAACACCGGGACATATTTACACATTTCCACTTCAAATATTATGAATGCCAAGTTGGGCGATGACTATAGATATTCATATTTATTCATCGCTCAAAGGAAATACATGAAGAAAGAATAAAGCAAACATGGAAATATCTTCTTGAACTTTGGAACCGTTAGATTGTTTTTTTTCTTCTTAAATGTCCCTTACTTTCTGGTGTTCCCGTTACTTTTCTTTAAAGCTCCCATCCGGTCAAACATGTGTTTTCTCCTATTGTGCCGTAGGGCTGTACTACGGATTGTGTTCAAGTTGTTCAGTAAGTATTTCAATGTTTGTCCTTTTTTCCAGTCAGTAAAAAACAACAATAATCTAGAGCCTATCTGGGTCTCTGGTTTCCCTGTCAAAATTAAAAAAAACCACTGTTTTACATAAGCAGTCCAGATGTTTCATGAGGTGGTAAATGTATGAATTTTTAACCAAGCATGTCAGAAACTGTCGTTCTGAGTTTTCTACCAACTTTGCAAAACAATAAGCATTAAAATACTGCAAACTTCAGCAACGGAGAGACACTTCTAATCTCCTAAACAGGAAGTTGGTTCCTTTTGTAAAAGAAAAGCAAATGCACCCACCAGAATGTCCAGGCAGGCAGCTTTCAGGAGCGTGATCTGGTCCGCGATGGTCAGCGCCGTGAAGCCAGGCACTCGTTTGGCAAATTCCACGATCTTGATAATGCACTTAGTGGCCAGCTCACTGAACTTGTCCCACAGGCCCAGGTCCAGCCTCACGCGGTGGTCTGCACTCGAGTTCTGCAGCGCGCACACACACACACACACACACACACACACACACACACACACACACACACACACACACACACACACATAAAGAAATAAAGGGTAAGACGCCAGGGGATGACGAGGCAGCTACTTTGCACAGACGGCTGCTAATGATCTCCTCACTCTGCTCTATATGTGTCACACTTACACAGTAAATAGGCTCCATAAGACCGGAGCTCGCAGACACACTGGCAGGATTGTTGTTGTGAATACGCTGAGCTGAGCTGTGTTGAGCCGAGCCGAGCCGGGCCCTGAGATAATGAGCCTAACAGTGTCAGTGGGATGCTTTGGCAATGACGGGATGCAGAAACAGAGCTGTGACAGGTAGCACTGAGTGGTTTGAAGCCAGAGGTGCCATTAATACAGATATATGGTCCATAACCCGACACACTCTCAGACTGGAGAGGGAGCTATAGGGATGGGAGGAATGAAGACTTAGGAAAAGGAATGGGGAAAAAGTGGAGGTAAAAGTACCGTAAGGCACCAGAGAGAGGAAAGGAGGAGATGAAATGGCAGATGAAAGGGAGGAAAGTTAAGTATTTGAGAGCAGAGAGGGATTATGGGAGGATTTTTTTTTTTCTTCTGGGAGGGATGTGTGAGCTCAGGTGAGAATGAATCATCAGTTTGTTGATTTTAAGGCCTTTGATTCAGAATCCTGCAACAGCTTCAACTTTGAATACCAGTTTTAAAGTAGAATTTCATGTGTGTGCATGTATGTCTGCTAACCTATCTTTCATGCCACATGACAAATAAGCATGATGTTTTTTTGTAGAAATGCATGACTGCACGCTCATAGCTGCAGTGACTCATAATAAATCCGTTGACTTTTGTAACATCATTGCCTCTAGATCAAAACCTAATCTCTACTGCAAATCTAATCAGAGACGAGGAGGGACAAACAGGGCTCATGCATGATCTACTTCTATCATTAGCTGCAGACAAAACAATGTGTATAAATATCTCTGCCAGGTTAAATCCTTTTAGAATCCAAAAAAAATCTGTAAATGAAATGCAGAATCTGTTTCTGGAGGTCTGGCTTTTAGTATGAGACGTCTGTATGGAGAGCAAAAGAAGAAAGAAGGAAGTCTACCATAGTGACATCAAACATTTTAGATTGAGCACATCACATCTGTTTGATGATGTTTCATCACAAATACAAGCAGAGTTGGTTTTTCCTGACGTCCTGTAAGGCATCATTAATGATGAATCCATCCAATCCAACCTCCAGTCGCCAAACCTTTTACAAATCATGATGTTATTTCAGCAAGCTTAAGCCCTGCTTATTCAAGTAAATCATAAGAAATCAGTCTCATCCTGCTTAAGTAAGCCAGAGTGAAGCCTCTGTGTAACTTACTATTTACAGTTAAACTGAGACTCGCCAGAAACAGATGAATCTGTAGCTACTCTGAAGGATGAAATGAAATAATGAAGAGGCAGCTTTTATTTTCCTGACATGTCTGGATGAGAGAATTTCACTACACTTTTCATCTAAACACACTATAGCTTCTCAAGTTGCTAACTGAATTGGAAACAATGCACGATACAGGGATGTACACTCTGCTCTCGCTCGGTCACTCTCTCTCTCTTTCTATTTGAAGCTGCATCCGTCACAGTCCTCTTAGCCTCAGCCATTGTATCAGACAGACTGGCTTTGTTATAGCTGAAGGCTGGTGTGTGTGAACCACTGACGTAAAGTTGTACGCACTTTTCCCAACCCGAGACTACATCGCTCATTTCGCTGTCAAAGTAACAAAGTGCTGAAAGCGGCTGACCGGGGAAAAGTAGCATTGTTGCTTTAACCAACCTCATAATCTTCTTTTCTTAAATTTAGGGCTGTAGGTCTCTTAGACATTTTCTTATTGTTCCCTATCACTAAAATGATTCAGTCCATGATGAAAAAAAACATTTATACACTGAATTCAAACGCACAAGGCATTATCAATCAATCAATCAATCAAACTCTATTTGAATAGCACTTTTCATACAATAATGTATGACAAAGTGCTTTTACATCAACATAAATCACAAATGGGGCGCGCTGGTGGGCCCGCATCCCATGTATCGAGGCTGTCGTCTCGAGGCCTCCTTCCCGCATATCGTTCCCCACTATCTCTCTCTGGTTTCCAACTCTATCCACTGTCCTATCTCTCTCCATAAAGGCACAAAAGCCCAAAAACAAATCTTTAAAAAAACATAAATCACAAAGCAACAACATGACTCCCTCCAAAAACTAAGGTAAAAATAACTACTACTACTATAAAAACAGGTACTGACGGACAGAGGAAACACTATCATTAATTGTTAATGAGGAAACACAGGAGGGTAAAAATGTAATAAAACTAGATAAAATGAGCTAGACTAAAAAGGTAGGTCTTGAGTTTGCTTTTAAAAATGTTTACATTGTGTTCTGCCCTCACGTCTCCAGGTAAATTGTTCCACTGACGGGGGCCGTGGTAATAAGAAGATGCCTCAGCGTAGGTTTTAGTTTGGACACTTGGAACAACTAAAAGACCACTTCAAGAAGACCTGAGGGCTCTGGTGTGCTCATAAGATAAAAGCAAGTGGGATAAATCCATTAAGAGATTTAAAAAACAATAAAATAATCTTAATATCAATTCTAAAAGACATTAGCGCATAAAGTGCATTATAATAATGGTTATAAATGAAAGAACTATCAGTTCACAGTGTGAATGTTTTGCACTAGACTGTCAGTTGAGGCGTTTGAAGTCATCATGTGAGTTTACGAAGCAAACGCAGGGTTTATGAACGTTAAGCTGTTCAGCTCGGATGAGAAATAAACAGTCTGTGTTTACCTGCTGTGTGCAGCTTGGAATAAACACAGCAGCTGCTCTGAACATTTTGGAATATTAAAATAACTGCCTTAATATTGGTCTAATGCAACGACATGTCTTTGAAGAAGTGAGAATAAGAATCTGGCCTCAGGTCTTGAGCTGGCTCTGGTCTTCATGAGTGCAGGCAGGGTTCAGGTCTCTGTGTGATCTGCAGACTGAACATGTTTCGGCTCTAATTGGACTTCTTTTCAACCATGTCACTGTGTTTATGAACTTAGCCAGCGAGTAGCGTGGAAGTATTACCAAAACCGTTAATGGTCAAAACTGAATTAATGGACTAAAGTTTTCATAAACTTTCATAAATCCTTCCCAACATTTCTGGTTTCTAGACCTCTGATGAAGATACTGTTATATATTGATAAGGAGGCCTTTTTCAGTGGAAACTATACAACTTTGGCTGCACAGGGCCGCAGTGGTAAGCGAGGAGGTTCCTGGTTCGAATCCCCACGGACAGGAGTCTCTCTGTGTGGAGTTTTCATGTTCTCTCCGTGCATGTGTGCGTTCTCTCCGGGTACTCCGGCTTCCTCCCACAGTCCAAAGACATGCTCGTTAGGTTAATTGGTGACTAAAATTGTCCATAGGTGTGAATGTGAGTGTGTCTGGTTTTCTCTATAGGTCAGGCCTGTGATTGGCTGATGAACAGTCCAGGGTGTACCCCGCCTCTCGCCCCAATGACAGCTGGTATCAGCTCACGCCTCAAGGTGAATGCGTTTGTTAATTTTTTTATTGATATTTTGGATCTTAATGACCAAAAGAAACAAACAGTTTTGGTATTGCAACAGAAGACAGCAGTAGGAGAGAGGCTGTAATATCTGCAACATGAAGCATCAGAGTAAGTCAACTTAAATGTTTTCATGAAGCACAAACTGGCTAAGATTTTTATTCCCAGTGTCTGTCAACATCACAGAAAGAGCTAGATACTGTTTTTAAGTCATTTTTCTTTAAATCCACCAGACTCCTTTGACAAAGAGTTCTAGTTGGACCTTGAAGAAAACAGTAGTTGCTGGTCTACAGCTGCCTCTCTCAGTTTGGGGTTTATATATAATATAAACTACTGCACACAGCTGTAAGAAAAATCTGCCTCTTTTTCTGCTTCATTGTTCATTTTATCTCCTTCTTAATTTCCACCTGATGGATGAATGATAAATATCTCAACTGGAAGCTAGTTTAAAATCTTGTGAACAACACTGCAAGATCCCCAGTCTTTGCAAAAAAAATAAAAGTCTGTGTCTCTGTAGACATCTTCAGATTTTAAAATGTGTTTAAAAGCAGTTTGCATTGTATGGTAGGCATCATTTTTTAAGTTTATACCGACTTGTGCTTCATCCTTTTCATTGGACATCCGTTTTGGTCTTGTGTAGTAAACATGATTTTTAAGTGACTGTTTCCTTTTTGGAGTCCACTCTCCCTCTTTAGAGTGTTTCTCAAATTATGTACCAGAGTTAAAGCTCGTGCATTTCAACAAACAATAAACAGGGACAAAAAAGGTGCATTTACAGCAACGTCTCGGGCCTGCAGTAACACTGAGCGATGTTGTGAGCGTACACAGAATGATTCACAGGCCTTAGGAAAAAGACTTGCTGCTGCTGTAAATGACTGAAGTATAGCCTTTTATTCTGAGTTCATAAATACAGCTGCAAAGAGACGCTGACAAACAGTGAATTGTGTCTCTGAACACACTCTTCAGACATGTTTATCCGGCATTGAAAGCTGTAATGAAGCCAGCTGCACAAAGGAAATGACCTCTAATCAAACAGGATTTTCTCACAAACAGGAGGATCAAAGTGGAGTGGACAGTGCGCTTTTTGCCTGCCTTAAGTTACAGCTTTGGTCATACTTTGTAATTTGTTTATCAAGTTATATTTCAAAGGACTCATTCTCTCTCAGGCAGAATCAAAGAAAGTACTGTCTGGAGCACAAGAGTCACTTAAGGCTAAAGACTTCCTCAGAGTCAAACTGTGTCGAAACATTAGTCCTTTACAACCAAAATAATTTTGCCTTAAGTGACTTGTGTGCTCCGATTCTTCCTTTGGTTTCCCCCATTGAAGGGGTCAAGTTATAATTCACTTAGAAGACGATACATCAGAGAGTAAGTACAACACTAATGCATTCATACAC